CCGCGACCCCTCTGCCGGGCACCGGCGGGAGAGAGCAAAATGGGCCTGCAGCCCAGGCCGAGGGCCGGAAGCCAGGGAGCCCGTCAGTGCCACGGTGAGGACGGCTTTGGTCCTGTGCCCCGAGGAGCTGGGGTGTTTCTCTATTAATGGAGGCCAGTCGCTTGGCCCCCACTAGCAACCCTACAATAAACACCCCAGTGCGTGGGTGCAAAGCAGAAACCGTCGCCAGCAGATTTCAGCGATGCACTTAAATCCGTTCTAAGAGGACGAAGCACGTGTGGACCTGCCCTGCCGAAACCCCTGCCCTGCGGCCGCCTCACGGACAGCCAGAGCTCTCCAGCGGGGAGAAGGCGGCTCCCCCTGACTCCAGTGGGATCAGTGCCTCTGCCGGTGCCAACTCGCCCGGCGCCACTGCGGTGCAGGGTCTGACGCGGGGATTCGGGAGCCGAGCAGACACGTCCCAGGGTGCCACGGGGCTGCTGTGGAGCTGACTCCATGGCTGCTGAGGGGCCCAGGGCACTGTCTACGTCTGCCAGCCTGCCCCGTGAGGCCTCCTAGCTACCTCGCACCAGCTCACGCACGCCCGGCACACCACAGCCTCGACAGGGCCCGGCCTCCTCCCACCGAACCCCCCCCAACCAAAAGCTCTTACCACGAGGGTCCGCAGACACAGGGTCCCCGCTGGAGCGCGGGGGTCCAGCGCAGCCACGAGATCCCACACTTTAATTTTCCTGGAGAGGAGAGGGGGACAAGAGAACAGTGTGACCGGCTCACCAGCCATTCACGTGCCCCAGCACTGACAGTGGCCCTGGCTCCTGGCAAACCCGCCTCTCTGCTCCCACACCTGCCTCCTGTCTTCTCTCTAGGCTCCGGCAGAGAGCGACCTGCAGAAACCCGGCTGGGGACGGTAACCCGACATCTGCTCCCCAGTGGCAAACGGGCCAAAGCCAGGAAGGGGAGGGAGCGCGGCAGCGGGGCTGATAACGTGACATTCTCTAGTCTCTGTGGGACAAGAACTGGGCATTACGTCTCCCCTCCTCCAACTGGGCCACCCACGCCACCGGCTCCTACAGCGCGGGCAGGCGGGGCTGGCTTCGACAAGGCTCAAACCCTGCAGAGAACAGGACACATCCTCACCACCACAGCCTGGCAGGCCCTGGCACGGGGCCCAGCTTGCTGGAGGTTCGGCGTTGGCGAGGGCACCAGCGACTTAACATTCGACTGCACCAAAATCTGACGTCAGCTTGGCTCCAAAACGGGCTGGGTGGGAGATTTCCCTCCCCTCCCGCCAGGCCCCCAGCCCTCGAGCTCATCACTCGCCCAGCTCCCGGGGACGAGGCAGCGACGGGCTCGCAGGAGGGAGGGTGCTAGCCACAGGATGGGGCAGAACGAAGCGTGGGGAAGCCGCACGCCCTCCTTTCGACCAGTCTGCCGGCTTCGGGCTGGAAGCCAGTGGTGTCTACGGCTCCCTGCCCAGGAGACGGAAGCTGACTTCGTGGCATAGGGGACGCGTGATCCAAGTAGCTACACAAGGGCCCCGTAGAGCGTGGAGTCAGGCAAGCCGGGACCTCTGCCACAGCTGGTTTCTGCAAGGCAAAGCCAGGGCTGGCGCAGAGCAAGCCAGGCAACTGCCCGGTGCCCCATGCCGCGGGGGGCCCGCAAAGCTATGTGGCTGCGGCTTTGGCGTCGGCCCCAGGTGGCAGGATTTCGGCTTTCTGGGCCGCAGGGAATCTGACACTGGCCAGGCTTGGAGGATGCCCTGGAGCGTGGCCCCGCTCAGGGGGCCGGGGGGAGAGCCACTGCTCTCTGCTACTCGCGTACGTGAGGGGAAGGCAGCGGGTTGTGGTGCACCGCGGCCGCGAGAGGCACCTGGCTACTCGACACGACAGGCGCGGATCCTGAGATGTTCCCCCCCATCCCTCCTGCCCCCGCCCACCTTCGCCTGGCTAGGAGCCGTCTGCTTCAGCTGAGCTCTGCCAACAGGTATGTGACTCCTGTTCAAAGCAGGGATGTAAAACCCTGTGGGTGTGTCTAGACTACATGCCTCCTTCGACGGTTTCACGAGGCTTACCTGTGTCGATGAAGAAAGGCTTCTTTGTCGGGGCATCGCGTCCAGACTCCCCCGATCTGCCGACAAACAGCTGATCGGCAGATCGGGG